AAACAGATTTCCACTTTTGAAAAATTAACCTAATTGAATTCTTATAACCATTTATCATAGATTTTATAAATCCTTTAAATGAATGCACAATGAAGTGTGTGCATTCATTTTAATTATGTTATCAAATAGGATATAAAGATTTACATTGAGCACTAAAATTAATACTTCAACTAAGTCTTCATTTTGCATTTTTCTTGTACTGCTTGATTGATTTCTTCACGAAATCTATTATGGTTATTGATATGTTCTTTTAATAAACTTGTTTAAAATTTATTCTCAATAAAACATATTATTAGTACATATATATATATATAGGACATATGGACATCAGTAGTCCCATTAATTTTTTTTAGATGGTTGATCTATGTCGCATATGTATAGTGTTGCGATAATCATCCTCTCGGGTTGGGATCTTTTTTGTGACGGGAAAAAGAATAAAGAATTCTTGTTTTTTATTAATAAAAAAAGAAGGAGTCGTCACTTAGTATTCTGGTCACTAGAAATCCTAACTAGTCTCAAAATCATGATAAGGGGACTAATTATGTCTAGGGAGGACATATTACCCCTAGTATACCTTATTTTAAGTAAGTTGTATTGTTTGTTTGTCTGATATAAACTAAGATATTATTATGTTTTCTAGTTGTTTGTATGTTTAAGGTTTAACAAAAGTTCTTCTTAGTAAGAAGATTATTATCTTATTAGGTTAAAACCGAGCCATTCTAGAGTTAAAATATATTTTTTATATTTTTTTAATATTAGAAATATATTTTATGTATAAGTTCTTAATTATTGATATTGAGACAAACAAAATGAAATTTTTGGTAGTTTATATAAGTTCTTAATTATTGATATTAAGACAAACAAAATGAAATTTTTGGTAGTTTTAAAATATAGGCCAAGTTTTTATGACTTTAATAAACTGGTTATTAAATCCAAAAATATATGTAAAAATAAAAAAACTATTTTAAGATTTTTTAATATGCTAAAATATACAAATATAATCTATTTTTTAGAGATTTGGTCATATAAAATTTAAATTAAATTGTATTTTTAAAAGAAAGAGTTTTGTTATTTTTCATGGAAGAAATACAATTTATTTAATACTTGGAAATGTATCTTGTATGTAAGTTATAATTTTAAATATTAAATATAAAAGAATAAGTTAGTAAGGAATTCAAAATTAATGACAAGATGACGTTATAGAAATTTAAAAATTCAACCAACGCTAAGTTTCACAGAACATTTCCATTTCATATTTTCACAACTAAATTCAATCAAACACCCTCTTATAACTAACTAGTCAGAAATACCCTTTTTAGACAAACAAACTCAAAACCAAATCGTATTAAACTTCACACAAATCAAACCAAATGCTCAAGTAAATTTCAGTAAAAACTCATGGTTCCAAAATCTAACCCAACCATTCAACAACCATACCTTCAACTCAAACTTCTCCTGATCACAAACCAATTCAATATGTATCCATATCAATCTTCTCCTTCAATGAAGACCCAAGGAGAGCCAAGGATATTGGAATTTAATATCTCTGCTGTTCACGGTTGGGTCAAAGTGTTGCTGCTCATGGTTTGAACTAAACGACCACCCATGGTTGAAGATAAAACTATTTTTCTTGGCCGAAAACTATAGTTGCTGCTCACAACCGACATTGGTGCTGTGGCTGTTCTTCATTGGAGAAAACTAGAGAAATGAGGCTGTTGAATCTTGGACTGTTGCTGCACAGATTTGTTGTGCGAAGAGACTGCCTGCTACTACTTATAGCTGAAACAAGAGAGGTAGTTCACGACAAACATAAAGCTATCGTTCATAGCTGAAAATTTCAGCTGTGAACAGGTACTGGACTGTCATGGATGGAGAAAAAGATATGAATGTTTCTTGATTGATGTAAGGTTGTCAGCGTGGAGAAGAAGAAATGGACGATGCTTGGTGGTGAAGTCGTCAGTGAGGATGAGTTTGAAAGTGGTGGCCGATTGCTGCTTATTGTGGTGGTAGAGAGACGGAGGCTGATTCTTTTAGTAAGGGTTAATTAATTTGGTGCTTCTTGTTGCTTCTGGATGGAAGGAGCTTAGGGTACTGCTGCCGGGGTGGCGGGCCTTGATTGCTGGATCGGGAAGAAGATGTTGCTAGTGCAGGAGGCTCTCTACAGCTACTTCAATGGAGGAATGCGAGTTAGGAGAGAGTTTCTGCTCCTGCTGTTGCTTGCCCAAGGAGTGGAGAAGATGAAATTAGATACTGCTAAGGAAGATTTTCCACTGTTGCTCGAAGTGCAGAGGAGATGAAGGATGGAGGTTGGTGATGAACTGTTGTAATGAAGACTCCACGCACGTTTGAAGCTTCTAAAGTGGCTGAGGAGGTCATGGTGGTGCTGTAGGGGGGTTGTGATGATTTGAAGGCTGTTACTGTTGCAATTTTGGTCGGGAGGCAGTATTCACGACAGTGTTCACGATCCTTTCTCTCTCGGGGTGAAAATGATGATTATCATCAAGTTGTCATATGGCTTATGTATTATAATAAGATATACAGAAGAAGAATGAGAAGTTTACATAGATATATATTATGACTATAATGAAGCAATATATGATCTGGTACATGATATTACACTTCAATTCATTACACTTGATCCGAGTAAGTTTCTCCACCTATTTATATACAACATGCCCAAAATATTCAAAATATTAGAAGTAATTAAATTTTTTTAGAATTAATTTGTGTTAAAAAATACATTTTATTTATTGTTTTTGTAATTTAACATTAATATTAGATTGACTTATTTACACGGGAGGAGGTCGAGAGGCACAACTATACTTTATAATATTGATGAAAAAAATAAAGGATATAGTTATATATCTTGATGGTTCAATGTTTATCGCAATAGACTTGATAATTTTAGAGAAAAGTTGACTTTTAAAGATCTGGTGGCAAAAGACAAGGTTACTTAGATAGGAACAATATGCATTTGTGCTATTAATGAGCTTGGATCATCTAATAAACCATATAAACATAGCTAAATAGATGTGTTATATTGATATGTTTTGAGATTTTAATTATTAGAATATTATATTAAGTAAGTATTTCATATTTGTCTTGCATGTATATATGTTTATTTATTTGCATTCTTGAGGTAACTTGTGATTATAAAATGTGAAAATTTATTGTATTTGGTTATTATGTTTCTTTATAGGTATTTTTAAACGAGATAAAAGTTTAGATGTAGTTCCTAAATAGAAGAAACTTTGCCCAAATTTTGTTAAAATTAGAAAAATTCTTATTCTCTAAAGTTAAATGTAAGATTAACAAAATAAATAATAACTCTCATAAGAACTATTTTTTGTTAAATTTAAATGCAGGAGGATTTTTTTTACTAGATTTCCATGGAATGGCTAAGAGGCTACTAAAATTTAATTGATGTTAAGATTATGAAATGCGATATCAATTAATTACGGTTTAAAAACATAATATAAATTATATGTTATATTTCTGAATCGCGACATGAATTAAATATCATGGTTATGAACTATAGCATTTCAAGGTTGTCATTATTCGCTAAATCTTTTTGTTGTTGTGTTAATTAGCCTATTCTTGTTTACTTTTTATGCTAACTACTTAATTTGACCAAGTATTTCAGAAAATTATTCATAATAACAATTAATAAATTAATTTTTCTTTTTTAAGTTTCAATTAACTCCATTCATCTGCTTGTGAAATCCTTACAAAAATAGGTTAAAACAAGGAAAAGAGACTCTACATCTATGGTTATTCTAAAACCTCAAATTAGGAAGGACAAGGAGATGATGTGCATGTGAAAGCAAAAATGTCCTAGAAGTTTGGTGTTCATGTGCTCCCAGTTGAGCTATAGAAGTTGTGCTTCAGAAACATACAGGCAAGGAAGTGATCTGCTTTTAGTAATTTCTCAATTCACTTCCTTATCATGGTTTTCTCTAGTAAGATCTTCAAAAAGGTACTTTTTAATCAACTTTTTATCAGAGCTTAGTTGTGTTTTGATATTTCAAAAAAGAGGAGGAAGAAGAGGTTGTAAAGAAGAACATGAAAGACACACATTAATAGAAACATTAGTCATTTAAATGGTAGATAAAAAATCTCTCTTAGCTAGTACTTACTTGTGCCATGTATAACAACTTCTTAAGGAACATGGGTTCAAAATAATAACAATAAAAAAAAAAATTAATTTGACCTTCCTATAATTTAATCACAATTATATTTTGCTTTATAATTTTGAAAATTATAGTTTGCATTATGAGTTAATTTAGTCATTCAAAATTGATTTGATAACGAATATAAAATCTCAAAAATCCAAAATCTCTTAAATTTCATATCAAAATCACCATTAAAATTTAATAATTTTAAAAATCCAAATGAACACCATTACAAAATTCAATCCAACAACTACAATCAATTTAAATTCAAACTAACAAGTTTGGCTGATTATTTTTCAATCAAACTTTAAAGTGTTAAGGATTTTTTTTAATTTTATAATAATTTTTTTAATTTTTTAATTTCAATATTACAAAAACTTTTTAGTTATTAATTGAAATATAATGACACTTCTATAAATATTTCAAACTATTCTATTGATTTTTTTTTTTGTTAGGCATAAGTAAGAATGTAAAGTGTTATATAACCTATAATATAATTAAGCTATAATTTTTAAAAGAATAAAGACAAAGTATGAAAACAATTAAACTATAGAAAGGGGAGAGTAATTTTCCATGATAATACCCAATTAGCCTATCAGCAGGATGGTTAGGCAACATTCACCTTAGCTTTCATGTCTGCTTCAAAAATTTTCTTCCGACAATTGAAATATGCCCAGCATAAGAGTTGTGCAGAAAATTGCTAATTAAGGTCCATGAATCCATGGAGAGTTGGTGGTGAAGGAGGCTCTTGTGTTTGTAATTTTTTAGTGTGATTCACTTTCTTAAAACTTGATTAATATGGATTAGTTTTGATATATGATTTAAGTCAAAAAAAAAATTAGCAATAAAAGCCCATTTCATTGAATAAATGCAATCAAAGAACAAACACAATCTTGCAAAACTTATCTTCAACAAACGCAATCATAGTTGCATTTAAGGCTCTTAGTAGGTGTATGTATGTGTGTCTATATATATATAGAGAGAGAGAGAGACTTCCTCATCACTACGTGATCTGTGACACTTTTTGGCCAACAGATATTTCCTAAGTTAGTAAATAAACAACCAACCGACATGTCGACCCTCTCTCCTTCAAACAACCATGAGCCTTGAATATCCAAATGAAGGATGTGGAGATAACGGCGATAATGGTGGCACACCAAATATCCCCATGGTTTCACCGTCCCAAAACCCCTTCCAATTTGACGGCGTTAATGGTTCCGAAGCGACGGCTTTGACCTCACTTTCCGGTGAAGAAGTCTCCCTCTTCACCACCTTATTAGTGCTAGAATTAGTACCTTCCATGCCACTCCTTATTCCTTCAAACTTTCTTTTTTTGCAATAAGTTCCCAAGAATTGTTCAGGTTGTTGAGAATTCGACTTGCCAGCTTCAAGAGGGAAATTCAAGATCGCTTTGCTTCCTCGTAACCTGAAAGCAGCGCTATCATAAGCCTTTGCAGCTTCAATGGCAGTATCAAATGTTCCAAGCCATACACGAGCGCCTTTTTTGTTAGGGTCACGGATCTCCGCTGCATATTTTCCCCAAGGCCTACGCCTAACACCCCTGTAATGCCTATCTTGTTCACTAGACAAATCTGTCTTGTTCACCACTGGCTGTGCTACTTGTGGGTTCATGTTCAAGGGTGCTGGTGGAGGTATGGCTATGTCCTTGATCTCGGATGGTTTTCTCTGGCTTAGAGAAGTTGAAGACTTTGGTGAGGAATATTGAGGCTTGAATTCAATGCTAGATTTAGTTTGCAGATTGAATTGTGGTTGATCAAAGGGATCAAATTCTGTTGATTCAGTCTTGATGTAGTAGTCATCAGTAGTACTGGTGGTGGAAGTGCTGCAAAGATCATCAAGATTGGAGATGAAGCTGTCCATGGAAGCAAAGTCAGTCAAGAGGTGTTGCCTAATGAGTTCCAATGTTGAAGCTTCATCAAAAGATGCCATTACGATTGAGAGAGGGGTAGTTTCTCCTCTTTTCTTTTCTTTTCTTTTCTAAGTCTCCTCTTTTCTCTTCTATTTATCCTCTTTTCTTTTCTTTTCTTTTCTAAGTGGCTACTTCTTAAAGGAGGAATCAAAGATGAGAGTGAAGTTGCAAAACTAAGATTGGAATCTAAAGAAGAGGAGAGAAGGGAAGGTTTGAATATTTTGAGTGGAAATGAGGGAGTGACGAGCGTGTGTATATCTATATATATATATATAAACGGTAGAAATTTGAGGAGCAAGAAAGAGAGAGGGGGGCTTCGTAGGAGGTTCCTCGGAAGTAAGAGGAATCATCATAATTCATATAATCCAAAGTGCAATTTGGAGCAGTGGGTCTCGGCTCCCCCTCTTGTCTTGTAGTGGACATTATGCTCTCTCGTCGGAATTTTGTTTTGAAAAATAATTTGCTGAAAGTTTCAGCACAACAACACAGGTTTAAAAAACATATTTGAAACTGTTATTTAGATTAGTGGTTGTATTTTAGATGTTTTTGTATATAACTATTATTTTAAATAATATATCGTGTTTGGAAACATTGTTTTTATATGTAAGTGTTATTTGAAATAGTGATCATGTTTAAGAATATATTTTTTTATACACAATTGTTATTTTAAATAGTTGTTATTTAACATATTTCAAGATATTTTTATTTTTCAAATTAATTAACTTAAATAAAAATCAATCCAAAATATTATAAAGCTTCAATGATTAAAAGATAAAATTTAAAATTTAAGAGCTAAAAAATAAAATTTTAAATATGAGATAAGATAATATGACATAAAAAAGAAATAAAACAAAGAAAAAAAATAATAGATCATCAGCCACACATAAAGATTTTATTTTTAACACACTTGGTATTTTAAAAAAAATCTTGACGAGATAATTTTAGTTATATTTTAAAAAATATTAAATAAAATCTTAATTAATCATAAATTAACTCATAACAAAAATTATAATAAATTACTACCATATTTGGATGTTTTTTAAGTAATGGTTACAATTACCTTATTAAGATTTTTTTTAATAATATTGAGTATGTCGATCAAGAATAGAAACATAGTGTGCTCATGATGATCCATTTTTTAACAACCATTATTTTAAATCTTATTAACTATTAGATATCTTATATTGATTTTTTATATATATTAATTAAATAAAGAGAGACATGTGTTTTGAAACAATAGTTATTTTTGTTTCGGTGCGACCACTATTTTAATTTCAACAATAATTGGCGGTGGTGGAGGTGGTGGTCCATGCCTTTTTATGAACTCCTCTGTTTCCTGGTTGCTTCGGACCACAACCCATAAAACGATAAGATTGCCTTGGCCTTCCCTTGTTAAAAAAATGATAAGGTTCAGTACTGCAATGATTCTGCCTTTTTTTTTTCCTTACAATAATAGCATGGATAGGGTATCTTTCCCTTGATGTAATGAAGAGGTACCAGTCTTCATTATTCATGCAACATTCAAATTGTGCCCAATACAGTAGAATAACCCCAATATTTTGTTGAAAAGATTTGATCATTTTTTCCCCTTACAACCCAGCAAATAAATTAAAATCTTAATTACTCGTGTTTTTTTTTAATCTTTTGCTCGGAAAAATAAATTAATGTTCTCCTACAAATAAAGAACTTTTATCATGTTAAAAATAAAATCTTATTTTGATCAAATTTTAGAGAATAGAATATTTCTAAACTATTTTCCTCATATTAAGGAAAAAAGGCTTCTTTGGGTACGAATCATTTATACATAAATTAGAAAACTGATAACATCTTTAATTTGAATACCAAATAATAATAATGATGACATAATATAAGAAATAATTTCATTTACATGCCACAAATATATAGGATAAGAAGAGAGAGAGAGTGTATGTATGCGCGATTAATGTTCTCCAAGTTCCATTGACATTTTTGGATCGTTGAACATAATAACATCACATAAGATAAATTAAAAAAAAAAAAAAAGTTTATTGTCACGTGAGAGTTGATTATAAGAATCTTCTATGGTTTTGAAGACTTGGCAGGTAGGTCTGGTTAATTAATTGAAATCCCAGGAGTAGATCAGATTTGCAATTTCAAGATAACATGGCTAATAGCGATGACTCTTTAACCTTTTTTATAAATATTATACGAATTATTGTTTAAAAATATAATTATAGTTATTTTTTAAAATATTTTTTTATTAAAATAATATTTTTTTATTTTTTAAAAATTATTTTTGAGATTAGCGTATTAAAAATGATCTAAAATACAAAAAAAATAAATTAATTTTTAATAAAAAAAATGATTTTTTTCCCAAACGGTGCTGCAAGAATCCCTAAAGAAAAGAAATTTTTAAAAGTTCAACTTATTGACTCTTTGACGACAAAGTTTCAAAGTTGATTCAATCTTGTATTCGAAGAAAATAAATTAACTCAAAGAATTTGGCATGTGCTGTGATCAAATAATTGGAAGAGCACGACAAGTCTTGCAGCTGAAAAGGAGTTTTTTTAATCTTCTAACTTAACGGCCAAGTGAAATTGGCAATCAATACTAAAAATGGCAGATTTCACGTTTTCTACGTCTCATGGAAGACGCCACCAAGTTTCCTCACAAATGGTATAATTTTTTTGCTATATTTCTCCATCTATTACCTCACTCGGCCTTCTTGGATCCTTCTAGTTTGGGCTTGTCTGTTCTTAGAGTACATGCGTGTCAGCAGTTCATCATTCCAGGTCGCAGAACTAATCCAAAGACAAGTATGTTAAAAATAACTAAAATCCAAAAACCAACCATGGCAAGTAGAAATTAAAAAAATAAAATAAAAGAATATTGATGCTTTCAAGGCAAGGACTTCAGATGTTCACAATGAGAACGGCACCGGAAAATTGAAAACGTACGTTGATCAAAACCAAGACTCTGAAGACCAGATTCAAAAACCATGTGTTTTGAATATTGACTTTCCTACAGAGAGCAGAGCTTTTCAACAATTTCTTCGTTGTTTATTTCTGCAACGCCAAGCAAACGAGCTTGCCTTGGATGAAGCTGCCATCATCCACTTGCCGGTCCCAATCCTATCAACTTGCCACCAAGCTGGTCTTGAATTGTGGCCATGGCGTGGACCCTCGTGATTTTGACACTGAACTTGGACACGCGCGCGCCCACTCTTTTATAGATTAATGATGGTGTTTTTCTTTCAATGGATAGCTTTTATTATTTGTCTGGACTGATACTGGTTCTATTAACCATTGACAACGATCCCCCGATCCTCCAATTTAAATACAAAGCCGGTAGGAATACGGTTGCTTACCGATAGAGAAGACGTTTGACAGCGAGGGGGTTGACATTGTTGAGGCGTGTGGTATGTCGTTCAGCTGTCATTCAAAGGCCCAGTTTGTCTTTTCAGCCCAACAACTTTGATGAAGCCCATGGCATGGCTGAAGTCTTATAATTAATTAAAATTACAAGTTTTTTTACATCTTTGTAAATCACATTAAAAAGGGGCGTGATTTGTTTTAGAATTATCCCGTTAAAAATTAATCTCATTAACATATTCCAAGAGGAATAATTAGCAAATCAATTCAATTCAATCAATGTAAGTAATTAAAATAAATTCTAATATAGAATCGGTTTCAAAAAAGTACATAGATAATTTCAGTTTTCTAATTAAAAAAAAATGATAATGATTTGAAGAAACCTTCTATGCCCTTTATTTCCCTTTATTTCAGACTTGAAGTATTCATTTATAACACATTAATTTAAAATAAAAATTAAATAAAAAATATTTAAATATTTTTAAAATACAAAATATTCGGTGGAAACAGCACGGGCACGGTGCTGTGCACGCATACAAAGACCAAAACAGTGAGCAGAGAAAAATTTGAGGCAAACACCATGACCATATTATTGTATCATAGTGTTCAACTTCAGCCGTTTGAATAATTGAACATTAATTGCATCTCGCTGACTGGCTCTATATAGCACGTGTTTGGTCTCTCTACTTTTCTTGCTTGACATTTCAACCAGAAGCTTGCAACTTGGAATTAAATATTGTTTTTGTATGTTTTTTCAAATCTGAATTATTATTATTATTATTATTATTATTATGCTGATCCATGCCTGGAACCCCAGAGTCTCAGTACTTTACAGCTTGAGAACTTCTCTTTTCGATCGGTCTTGGCAATAAAGATGCATGTCGGTAGAACACTTTTTGAACACCAAAACCAACCCTCCCAGCTAGATTTCTTGAGGGTGACTAATATTTAAACCTAAGGGAGTGTTCGGTATTACTGGGTAAAGTTAGATTGGATAGAACAAAAATCAATTTTTATATTGTGAGAAAAATCAACTAATATGGATTTCTTGAGCGCATGCATTGTTATTTTTAGAACGACTATAATATTTTTCGTTTAAATATATTTTTCTAAAAATATATTAAAATCACTGGCCAAAATCTATCAAACTCTCCCTCCCCTAATTGAGTTAAAATCGATTAAAAAAAAAAGAATCCGAAACCTAACACATTCTTTCATGTGATCTCCAGAAACCTGAACTTTAAAATCTCTTCCAAGTAGTTGCAACATTTCATTTTCAATCTCTTTCTTATATATTTAATGGCCTCATCGTTTTCTTTTCCAGAACTCAATGCCAGCCTTGCCTTCGCCCTTTCTTCCCTTTCTCTTCCTACAACACTCACATCCATCGGCTGATCTTTCCTCTTATTGCCTCGCTCTCATTTCTGACACAATGGGATTTGCCTTTTTCCCTCGCATCATCGAACAAGGTTTTAGAATGATGGTTTATGGTGGATTAATGAATTATGGGTTTGCAATACCTTAGGTTTTGATTAGGTTAATATTACTAGTGGGTCTGTTGAGGAATATTTGAATCGTGAACCTGAACGTGATTTGAAAGAAGGGAATTTGTATCTTGTTGTTTCTTCTAGGTATTTTTTTTTAATTTCCTTTTGTTCTTGATTTGAATCAACTTTCCTGGAGTTTGAATTGGCGTGGATTAATTATTGGGTTTTTGAATTTATGTTTACATTTTTTTTAATAGCAATACAAACTCATAAAAAGATAAATATATTGATTAACAACAAAAAATAACATAAAATAGTGAGAATTTGATTTCCACAATTGTAATGAATCGTTATT